AGGAGAGGGGGGAGGGGAGAGAGGGAAGGAGGGAGGGAGGGAGGGAGAAAGGGAGGAGGGGGAGGGAGGGAGGGGAGGAGGGGAGAGAAATGGGGGAGGGAGAGAGGGGGAGGGAGGGAGGAACAGAGACAAAGAGAGCAGCGAGCATGAAGAGCTGGCAGATGAGCTGGAAGAGCAGATCCCATTTCATAACTGCATCTTAGAAAGATCCTTGAATCTTCAGGACAAAAGATGGCTCGGCAGAACCAAAGTGTGTAAACAATGAAGGAAAACAACAAAGTAATATATGTGGGAGCCAAAGAAATCAACAGTTACTCCTGAACTTAGGGTCCAGATTCCTGCAGGAGGACCACAGACTAGGCAGCGCCGGCTGCAGGAAGACAAGACAGGAGCAGGACCGGAGTAGCTGTCCTGAGGAGACACTTCTAGGCCTACTGCCTTCTCACATCCCTGACACCTATCAGCTAACAATCTCACTGTGTCACCTTTGACAAAAGAGCTCATTCCTCCCTGCCAACCAGCTTGAGTTTATACAGAAATGGTACCCATCTCGTCTTGCCCTTTCTGATGAGAAGAGTGATTACATAACCAGTCCAAACCAGTCCACAATTTGGAATTTACTGGGAATTTGGAAATCTTATGCCATCTTCCCTTGGAGCTAGTCCTTGAAATCCTTTTCTGTTCTCTCCTTAGGTGTGTGTGTGTGTGTGTGTGTGTGTGTGTGTATGTGTGCTACCCAAGGCTTTATTCAAGCATAATGTTTGCATGATCCTCCTAAGCTACTGCTATTATATATTGCTTGCAACCAGAAAAACCTCATCTGACTATGGTGGCCTGGTAGAGACTGAACAGGTGAAGGAGAGACCTGAAGTGGGTTTTCTTTGGAGGGTGGGTGGGTGGTTTGCTTTAAAGATTGGAAAAGAAAGGGGAAAAATTTTTAAAGTTGGCTAAAAAGGCTTTTGTAGAACACTGAAAATCATTCCACAGAGTGAAAAGTTATCTTTGGCATATGGGCATAGAAAATTCTACCCAACGGCCTGACCTCCTAATGACTTACCCAGACTTCAACAGTGGGGCTGGTGAATTCTTCCATGAGGAGACTGACACATTGGGAAGAAGCCTCAGAGTTAGGCAGAGATGGGAACGGAACTCTAGATCCTGGTCCACAACCTCTTACTAATTAGCTGAGTAACTTTGCACAGAAACCTACCTCTCTGATTCTCTTTTCTCCTTAGGAGAAGACAAGAGGTGCATTATATTTGAGATTCTGAGATTATATTCCAGGAGAGTTTTAAGTGAACACCAGACGAAGTTCACTGGAAAACTAGAGTCAGCGAATCTCCAAGAAGGGGTAGAGTAAGAAACACCTTAATATTTGCCGGGGAAACCCTTTTCCCTAAGGAGACACATGTAGACCCAGCCATTGACAGAAGACAGTAGATGTAGAACATCTAAATTAGGTGATTTTTAAGTGTGTCTCTGCTCAAGTAATCCAGGTCTCTGTGCACCCTGCTCTTCTGAATGTGCATGCCTGTTTCACTTGTCTAGTCCTTAAAGATGACTGATTCTGAAGAACTCCTATGATATGTGGCCTGTTTTACGGGCCTTCTCCCAGGAAGTGGCATACTTGAATGCCCATGAAGTCATTTAAAGATCAAGTAGGCTCTCAAACCCTCCAGCAGCTTAAATAGAAACACAAGAGCTTACCACTGTGCTCAGAGAACCCACCCAGGTTCAGGCTGCAGGACTGCAGAACATGCTTTTAGCATGCATACATTTCAGCAACAAAGACAACCCTACTCTTTGCTGCTCCAGACAGTCTGAGATGCTTTTGTGCTCTTGGGACCTTGCCTGGTCCTTTCTCATCCGCCTCAGCCCTGGTACTAAATTGGTTCAAGGTTTGTAGGAAAGCTTCAGAGGACTGAGGCAAAGGCATGTTTGGAGTTCTTAAATGCTGAAGTCACCATGGGAAGCAGAGCCTAGCTCTTTTCTGGCCACTAGAGGGCGATGGCGGCAGCAGCTGGGCAGAAACAGCTCCCAAGAATAAAAGCAGAAAACTGAATCTCATGTGTTTATGAATGATGCTGGGGTTAGGGTATGTGTGTGTTTGGGGGGTGGTAGGGTGGAGGGGTGGCAATTGAGTCCTTGGAGTTAACTCTCTGAAAATCTGTTAGGTATAATAAAATAAAATTTTCACCTCAGCTATATATTTACAGTGTGTAGTCAAGTAGCTAAAAGTTTCCTTTAAGGAAAATGAAAAAAATCAGACTAGCATTCACATGAGGTATAAGAGTTCTCAGGTGCACAGTTGTTAGTGGTATGTGAACATACATATTCTTCTGTATGTGACTGCATATTTTGTGTGTGCGAAACTGCATGTGATTTATAGTTAAGAGTATAGGTGTGTGTGTGTGTGTGTGTGTGTGTGTGTGTGTGTGTGTAAAACCAACGCTCTTTCAGACCTTTCCAGTACAAGAGGATCTCAAGGAAGTCTGAGCAATACTTCCTCCAGTTCCTGCCCCTTCTCTTCAAACAAACAAACAAAATCATTCCTACAAGTATTTATGGAGCCTCTAACATGGCCCTTCCCCACAGGCATCTGGAAAAGCTCAGACCAGCCAATTTAGAGCAGGCACTGGCAGAATGAAGGCAAGGCTGGGGAGGAGGGGGGTGGGGAATGGCCCCTTGCAGGCTACAGTACTATTTTATAAAATCATGTTCTTTTCTTTGAAGTGCCAAGGAAGTCGGACAGAACTGTGGCACCTTGATTTGAGGAAATAAAGGCTCGCAGGTGACATGATTGCCCCGAAGTCCCTTAGACAGGAAGAAGATGAAGCTATGGTGTCAATACCGGGGCCCAAGTTCTTATATTTACTACAGAGAAACAGAGACAGCTAGAGAGGCCGAGACAGACTCTGACTGTGTGACTATGGAGTGTTCTCGAATCTGCATGTCCTCTAGGAAATAGTTGGTCTTAGCAGTGAATACTAAATAGGGTAGGGACAAAGTTTTCACGGATAAATGTGCCGGGTAGAGCATGCCTAGTAGCGGTATGATCTCGGATAGCCCAACGGTATAATCTTCACTTAGCCCAACTTTGGATTTTTTTACCTAAAAAGTGAAATCCACTTTCTGATGCTCCCATGTGGATATTCTGTATCCAGTTCGGTGACTGAATTTAAAAAAAAAAAAATGAAGCCACAAGGTTTATCAGTCCTTGGCTCCCAAGAATAAATGAATTTCAATGTTTCTTTCCTGGCGTCGGGGCTGGCCAAGTCCCTTTCCTTCCCAGTTGGGTCGTTCTAGCTCCCCTGCCGCCTCCTCCCTCCAGGCTCTTGGTTGCTCCAGCAAAGTTCCCAACTTAGTCGACGTGACGCTCAGCGCAGCCAATGGGAGGCGGAGCTGGTGTTTTGGGAGGGGGGCGGGAGGGGCCGAGCCCGGCGTCTCCGGTGTCTGCCCAGCTCAGTGAATGGAGAGCGCGAGCGCCGGCTAGCTCTCCGGGCCACTCCGTGCCCCAGCCGCCTCCGTGCTCCGCAGCCCAGCCCTGAGCCGGACTTCCCGGGGCACCGTCTTCCCCGGCGCTCAGCCCAGGACCCAGACCTAGCCCTCACCTCTGTCGGCGACCCAGAGGGACCCGAGGGCTCTCGGTACCTGGGCACTGTGAGTGATGCGCAGCGGGGCAGCGCCAGCCCCACGGATGGAGCTGCTGCCGCCGCCGCCCGGCGCGCCCCGCTCCGCCCGCGCCCCGTGCGCCTGAGCGCCGCGCCCGCCCCTCCTCCGCGCCAACTCCGCCGCCCCCCCCCCCCCAGGCCGCCCGCGCGCCTCCTCGGGCTCCTCGTGTCCCGCCGCGCCAGGCAGCCTCCTCTGAGTGAGGACGCTTGTACACCATGGCCCCCGGGCGGACCGGGGCCGGCGCCGCTGTGCGCGCCCGCCTGGCGCTGGCCTTGGCACTGGCGAGCATCCTGAGCGGACCCCCCGCTGCCGCCTGCCCCACCAAGTGTACCTGCTCCGCCGCTAGCGTGGACTGCCACGGGCTGGGCCTGCGCACGGTTCCTCGGGGCATCCCCCGCAACGCAGAGCGCCTGTGAGTACCCACCCCGCCCGCTCGGGCCACCCACCCCGTTCCTACAGAGTCGCCCTCAGGGCGCAGGTCCTTCTTTCCTCTCCCGCGCACGGGGGACGACCTCTGTTCCCCCCTCCCCCGCTATCAGAGACGCTCAATAAGTTGGGGGTGGCGTGGCTTTGGGCAGGTGTGGAGAGAAGTGTCCGAATCCCCCTCCCGCCCCCCGACTCCCGCATTGGGACCGGGTAGTGCCTCTCTGGTTGAGGGCTCCGGGAGCTCATCCTCTGACAGCTCAGGAGAAGAAAGCTGGCAGAAGGCAAGCGGGGAAGAGAGAGTCAGGGAGCGAGGTGGTCTCAAGGTTTGGGGTTGGGTATGAGGGGTCCATTACTCCTTGCTTCTTAAAGGTGGGGAGGAGAGGGAGCAATCTAGACGGAAATGGGGAGTCTCGATCGCAGAGACTTGAGAGCCTCCTCCCCCACCCCTCCAAAAACTGCGATCCTCTTGGAGATCAGAATGGGCCAGCTGCTGTGTGGCTGTCCTTGCAAGGAAAGTTGAGTGTGTACGTGAAGGTCTTAACTTCTGAAGAACCGGACGGATTCTGAGTGGGTGCTCTCAGCACCCTCCCTGCCTGGAGCGCAGCGTTGGGGATGCCAAGTTGCAGCTCGGGTGAATTTTTTATGGCTGGGTTATAAATGCCTCCCCAAACGGGCCGGAGAATGGAAATGCTGACAGCCCTTTAAATGAGACCTAGCTCTATAATCTTACAAACCGCACTCAGCCTCGGATCCTGGGGTTGGCAGCTAGCGGAGAGGCTCTTGGAGAGTGGGGTGGATTGACCCTCGTTTTAACCCCAATTGTGCAACCAAATATTTACTTTTCTTATGTCAGCGTTTTGGAAAGATTTATCATTTTGATCCTCACGACCAAATTCAAAGTTTGGCCTCCGGGGGTGGGCTCCTTTTAGTCCACAGTTGGGGGTGGGGTGAGGGAGTATGGAGCTTCAGAGTGGGTGAGGGTTTGCCCTAGTCAGAATTCCAGCCATTGAACTGCCCAGTTGCTCTCTGCCCAGCCTGTCTTAGGAGTTAGCACACCGGTCTTCTTCAGTCCTGCCTACTTCAGGTCAAGTGAGACCAGGAAAGAGCGGGATTGTCCTAGCTGCCCACCCGTGTTACCACCCCCACTGCCTCTCTCTTCCTTCCCACCCCCTTCCTCCTCGTGTGGCTGTCTAGGCAAAGACTTCCTAGAAATAAATGCCTTCTTTATTCCGGGTGTTTTCTTTTGTTTGTTGTTTTCGAAGTGCAATGATTGTTCTGTTGTTTAGACAGTAGAAATCCTGGAGGGCTGGCCCTGAATCTTCATTAACACCAGGAAACTAGGATCAGAAATGCAAACTGACCTGCCCAAGAAAACAGGGCAAATAGATAACAAGAAAAGGGGCTGGAATCCAGGCATCCACACCTTCATTCAGGTTTTGTATTAGACTCTATTTGTGAAAGCCTCATTTAAGCGATATTTTTAGGTATGTATAAACTAAGTTCCCCTCCTTCTCACATGAATGCTGCAGACGAGTTGGTGAGATGCTAAATGTTTAGTGGGTGCTTCCCTGAGACACGCTGTGTATCCCTTCTCCTTCCTCGAACCTCCCACAGTCCTCTGTTTCTTACCTAGCCAATACTCATTACTCTGCCTTGTTCCATCTGTCCTGCATCCATGGTCATGTAACTGGTTAGTCAAGTGGCTGAATCCCAGCCTGCCAGGCTTCTAAGCCCAGGTCTCCCACCAGTCTGTAGGCTCCTTAGAACCAGAGTCAGTTTGGGCCGAGATCTCTATAAACAGACTGTCATGAGAGGGCCTGGCTGGGCTTGGATCTTCCCGTAGGATCCGGTTGCCTCTGCTGTTGGTATATCCCACCATCATTCATTTTGCTTTAACACCAGCTCTTTTTACTTAGGGTCATTATTTTCAGTAGCCTGAATCACAGTGTCAGTTTGAGAAGATCAGGACAGCAGGACTCCTCTCTTCTGGCTAGTCAGAAGTTTTCAACACCTGTAGCCAGTGTGCTACCAGCTACTTCTCCCGAGACCCTGGGGACTTAGGACTTCTCGTTTGCTCTGCAGCTGGAGATAAATGGATAAAGACCTGAAAACAGGCATTCCCAGAAGTCTCTCTTGCTACAGCCATGGTCACTACCAGGCATGGACAAAGTGGATGCTGCTCTGGCATCTCCGTGGTTACCTGGTGCAGCCTTGGTCACTGCTTTAAGTGCATGGTTGTGACAGAGCTGCCATGGCCGAGCTCTCACCTTCTTTCTAAGACTGGAGCCAGCCTTTTAAGGACAAACAGGGTCAGGGCCACCTCAGGTTTAAGGTCAGCCCACCAACAGCCCTTCACCACCCATCCGGCCCTCAGGGACTCTGATGGAGCCTGGTAGAACTGTTCTTCTTCAACACCATGTTAAGGATTTCAAATTTGTCATCTCTGCTCCATTCCATTCAGTAAACATTGCTTGAAGCTTCTATAGCATTCCTTTCCCTTGTCCATAAAATCATTACATACACAAAGGAAAACCAGCACTTCAGCATAAAGGATGTGGGCAAAGGTAGGAAGTGGGAACCTTTTTTTTTTATCCCCTTTAAAATCCCCTGGGGGTCCTTTAGTCACGGGACACTGGTTTTTATCAGCAGAGCCATTAGAAGCTCATGACCTTCCAACAGTCTGACTTCTGATCCCGGTGGTGAAATTGTGTTTTAAAACAAAGAAGCGGTGCTTTCCCTGTCCTACGTTTCTGTTACTGTCTTCCAGAAAGTACTCTTGTGAAGGAGAGAGAGAGAGAGAGAGAGAGAGAGAGAGAGAGAGAGAGAGAGAGAAAACGACCTAGTCATATGATATTAAGGGTAGCCTGAATAGGAAGGATGTAGCTCTCATTTGGACTTCAGGCTAGGAGTGGGGTCTGAATTGTTCATCATTAAGTCACTATCAGAGTTGGGAGATTGTCTGTGTTCCAAGTTCTTCCCCATAATGTCAGCACATCACACAGAGAAGGAAAGCCTCTGTCTTTTATAAACTACTGACAATTTTTCCCCTCCTAGAGGAGGAGGTGACACCCACAAGTAAGCTAAATAAACCGAGGGGAGAATTCGGTGTCATTTATTATCCGAGGAGCAAAGACAGAGGCCCAGGGAGGAGAGGAAGCGAATGGAGGTCCTTGAGACAAAACATTTACCAGGGAGTGCAGGGTAAACAGATGTTGCGTTTGCCCTTCTGAGTACAAAAGGAACCCACAGATGTAATTCTTCTTCAACCACAGCCTCAGCCTGGAGGGGAATGAGCCCTCATGTGGGGCCCCTTCTCCCAGTCTCACCCGAGGCAGGCAGAGGCCCACCTCTCACCCACAGCTAGGTGGTGGCAGTGGGAGCCAGAGTGGACATCTTTGCTTTTTTCCACTTGGCTCCAGAACATGCTGGAAACTGCTGTATTTAAATAAACATTTCCTGTTTGCTAAGGAGAGCGGGCGAGAGTCTGAAACGTGAGAATGTGGTAACTTAATTTTCTCCATCACTCCAGATGACAGCAAGCTTTGCCGGTGGTTGGGTCCAATAAAAACCGACACCGTGTCATAGGCCTTCCCTCACTTGACCACAGAGGTCCAGAGGTCAAGTGGGAGACTTTCCAAGATGTTCAACGGCCAAGCCTAGCGTTTTTGGTACTCCCAGCCCTTGGGGCCAGCTCAGGGGACCAGAGACTATCAGGCAAGTTATAGGGCCTCTCTGGACCAACCATGGTGATGTGGCCTTTCAGAGAAGCACAGGACTCTTTGGAGTCACCGCCTGTGTCAGGTGGATGCTGTCCTTCAGCATATTGTACAAATTTGAACAGATCACTGTACCTCTGGGCTTCTTTTCCTTAAAAGTAGGATTGTAGTGTGGGCTTTGTGACTTTTCCCTTATGTAATCACCTGTTCACCCTTCCTCTGTGCCTAGGCCAGTGCCTGGCACCTGGGAAATTGTTTACAAATATATGCTGAATAAAAGGCTAGTGAACCTCAAAAAGCACAGGGCAGAATGGGCTATCACAGGTTTGCATTTTGATGGGTGGCTAAGGGCTACCTCCTAGTAGCCTATTACATGAGATACTGTTATCTAAAATTCGAATTTCATGAACTAGAATTACTGTCTCGGTAGAGTTTTCCCCAAGACTCTTAAGGCATGATCCACTCTGAAGTCTTGTTGCCAGGCGTTGCTTAGCAACATTGCAACACTCCTACTGTGCACATGCCAATGGAACGAGCCAGCAATCCCGACTACTTCTGCCACAGGACTTTCTAATCAGGAACTCATCAGTGACATCCTGAGCTCTCTGTGGTTTTTTATTGCCACTCTTCTGGCATTAATTGATGTGTATTTGTAGGGTCATTATTGAGTTTTGTTTCCACGGGTTGTCTGGGTTTTCTAGTCCACCCTTGGTTTTGCATTGTTATTTTGTTTCTCTGTAGTTCTATTGTCTGAATTCACCCCCCCCCCCCCCACACACACGCAGCACATTAGGGAAAGTGAAAATAAAGGGCCTGGTGAGGATGGGCAAGAAGCCTTCAGAGCCTGCTACTCTGTTTTAAGCATGGGCTTATGGCAGCTTTGGACCGGGAGCTTGGATTTGGAGGCCTGTTCTGTGGCATGCAAGCCTGCTACTGCACCTCTGCTGATGCTCTGCCTCTCTGGACTGCAGGATGTTTAATCTTTTTGTACCTCCCTTCCACTCCTGTAATGCAGGGATGACAGTCACACGGGATTGTTGTGAACGCAGCCTGAGGCAGTCCACATAGTGTGTTCTGCACAGCACCTGCCATATTGTCCATTCATTTTCGTGGCTGGGATTGTTTACCCAACTGCAGTGTATCCAGCTGTAAAGTATGCATAATACCCCTTCCCTTTTGGGAAGGATTAAAGTGATCTTGTCTAGGAAGTTCTTAACAGTACCCGGCACATAGGAGCCCTCCACAAACTTGTAATGCTATGGCTGTGTTT